GGGATAGATACAGGGTTTGAGGTAAAACGCTCTTTCATATAAACTATGAAAATTATGGGGTCAGTTTGACTTCATCTTTTTCAAAACTAAATTTTTTTTTTTAACGTCCTTCCGAAGCGGGCAACGGGATTTCAATTCTGATGACCGACAGCTTCTTACGGGCAAACCCCACACCAAAAATAGTGTCGACATCCCTTCTTCAAAAAAAGCTCCTCAATGTTCTTCCCTCACTCTTTCATCTAGAGTTTTATGGAAATGGAAGAAGAAAATAAAGAAGGGAAGAAATATTGAGATTTGGGGAGAAGAAGCCCTTTTTCCCTTAAAGCTCCTCTCAAGTCTCTTCCTAGCTGATAGCAAAAATGACTCTCTCCCTTTGATCTCTTATTGCTCAGGGAGATAACCCTTCATTCAAAAACTTGATTTGGCCTCTTGCCCCATTTTGCATAGGCCCGTGTGCCTAAAGAAACCTCTTTTAGCTGAAAAACTGGGCAAAAGGAAATATCCAACTTTCACAACCATGTTGCCGACGGAAATTTGGGGACCAGAGCATAAACCCGCGAAACAGGTCAAACCGATGAGACCAAACCAGACATCATTGGTGGTCACACCCCTACTAAAAAGCATCATAGAAGGGCTCTTGGCCAATGCCTTGATGTAATTACATCGAGCACTCAGTTAGGTCGGCGTGGCCATGACAAGCTCGGGTGTTGTCACTTCGCTATAGACTGCATTGCGGCCTGTGGAGAATCGGGTGTGGTCATGCCCAAAGGTGACGTAATTACGCCAAAGTTTGTTTTGCCAATGGGGTCATGCAACCCTCGAGCGCAGTCACACCGAGGGGGGAGGTTATCACAATTGGTATGACTTAGAGCATGCTTATGACCGTTTTGGGCGTGGTCACGTCAAGGGCTAGGCATGGCCACGTCGGACCCTTAGGCCCTTTTGACATATGAAAGATTGTCAAGGGGGATTTTATGTTCCATTAGAGGCGCAAAAAGCCCTAAACGGGTGGATTAGAGCTTCCAAGCATCACAAAAAATCGTTAGGCTCGCCCTAGATCGGGGGACCAATGTCGACCGATAATAACCGCTTTCAAGCACAATCAGGATAGGTCGAATCTTCAATATGGTGCATGACGTGCCCGCTGACGACTCCGCGAACACCTTGAACTACGGGATAGTGCATATGCACGTTACACGCTCCCATAACATCGAAAGGGCATCAAACACATCTAACATAAAAAATTGATGCAAACAGTGGCCTCACAAAAAATAGTGAACAACTAATATTTCATCAATAAATTCATTATCCTACATGAATCTTGATGCATAACATGAATATCAAGATAGTTTTTTTAGCAAAAAAATTCTCAAACATTGACTTAAAATCATTTAGAACCCTGATTTCAACAAACTTATAGTTAAACTAACCGAATCAACGAGACAGACCCAATGATACCATTGTTGGTTTGATCTGAGTCAAATCAAACCTAAATTAACTGTTAAACGGCTTTAGAAAGCTTACAATGCATAATCAGAATGTCAAACAAATGACAAATCTAGCGTCTCAATGTGATGACTCCAACGAGCTGAAGACCACTTAACTTCGACATCATTAATGCACTAAAATATTGACTGAACATCATTCAATTAAGTGAATCACTCCGATGAAGGAATCTTTTTTCCTTCCCCAACATTTATAACCCATATAGAATTTGTCCCACATCGAAAGTTTGTGGAAATTTTTTTTCCTTAGTTCTCTTTAAACGAAGCTCTGCCCTTTGAGATACTCAGACATGCCTCCTCAAATTTATTTTGAGCCAACAAGTCAAAGCAAATTAAATGGAGCAAAACACAAAATGTGTTGATTTCTACTCATTTTGAAAACGAGATGAACAAAAGCAAAAGAAAATTAGATCTAACCGGACAAGAAAAAAAGAGAAAAAGCTTCCTAGATTTTATGACCACTAAGGTCGACCGTTTTAATCGGTCCGATATTCCCGACCGGGTTTGATTGTAGCTTTCAAAACCCGCTCTCGTCCGTCCAAAATAAAATGAACGGTTCACATTGATTTAAATACTAATAAATAATAAACACGTTTTCCGACAATACAGGGTTTCCGGTTGGCAGGGCACCAACCCGGATTTAGTGAAGGGTCGTTTTAGTAATTAATGCTGAATTTAAAGGGTTTATTCGTCCTACAAAATTAGCTCTTCATCGTTATTACTTATTACCTTCCCCCCACCTTCTGTCTCTCTCTTCCGTCGGCTTCTTCGAGCCCTCTGTATTAACTGCTGTTTCTGCAGCAATTTGGATTCTCTGCGCGAGTGGAGGGCGAGATCTTATTTATAGAAGATTGGAACTCATTTGGATCGGGTTCTGATTGGTTTTTTCTCAGCGGTCATCTCATCTACGGAGGTCAGGCTGAGAAGCGCCGGTGTTGCTCGCTAGATCTGCTATCTGAGGTGCGGATCATCGATCATCTTGGTTTCATCGCCGTGTTCTTCTTCTTTTAGGAAATATATTTTGTATTGTTTCCGATCCGTGATAATTTCATTGTTTGGTTGATGGTATGTTGCGGATTGATTGTTTTTTGCTTTTTTTACGTAGATCTACGAGATAGGAGTTTTAATTATGTTTTTCTGTTTGAGAAGAGTTGCTTTAGATCCGTTGAGATGATTTTCCTATTCCAGTTATGAAGAAATTGATAGCCTCATGCACTTTTTCATGGTGTGTTCGATTTCGTGGGGACCCGCGTTGCTTTGCTGCCCCTTTTTTTTTCCTTCTCTCATTTTTGTTTGCTATTGCTGCTCCTGCGCGGCTCATATTTGTTTTGGCTTTGTTTTGATTTCGATTTGCCTTCTTCTTGTTTCCATTTAGATTCTATTTTGATTGAATTTGAGTTATTTTTAGCAATGCGGAGAGCTTTGATCCCGTGATAGCTTGTGGTTGGCTCAGGAATCTGAGTCTGGTTCTTATAACTTGGATGTCTCTGGCATAACAATCGTATTATATTGATGGATTGCAGGCACTAGCTATCAGCATGGCAACGGCTCCTGCGGCAACTGGATGGCTGAGGGGAAAAGTGAAGGCCGTTCCATCTGGGGATACTCTCGTGATCATGGGAAGTACAAAATTAGAATTTCCACCGGAGAAGACCATAACATTGTCGCACATCATAACACCTAGGCTGGTATGGTTCAGCTCATAAAAAAAATGTCATCTTGTGTCTTTCTGAATGATGAGTTCCACTTATTTTAGTCGCCACACTTGTCACAAGATTCTCTTTATTTTTATCTTTTGCTTTCATCGAACTAAATGTCTTTTTTAGGAGTATTTATTCATTTTCTTACGCTACTACTGCCAATCATATTTCTCTTTTTATTTGTTATTTGAAAGAGCAAATCTATGGTAAGAATTAAAGTACACTATTAGTTCTCCCTTCTGAAATGACCACTTAATTATTTATATGAAAGGGGCATTTACATAAATACCACCCAATTCTTATGTGTTTGCACCTAAACTTTTATTTTTACATTTATAAATACTTTTCACATTTATACCACCCAAATATTTTATATCACATAAAAAATAACCATTATCTTAACTTTTAAAAAGTGAATAATCCTTTTTATGTATAGGTAAGGTTGGAATATATATTAAAAAATTGAAGTTTAGTTGTAAATATGTAAATTCATAGGAATTGTGGCATGTATGTAAAAGTTTCTTGTACGAAGTGTTTGTGCTTTTACACGTCACGACTTTGTGTGATTGCATATTTCCATCTATCCCAACTTCTTGCTTGTATATCCATACAGGCACAAAAATTACATTTTTGTCTTTCCAATGCATATTAGAATGCTGATTTTCATCATCATTTGCAAATGATGTATTTACAAGGCTAATCGATTCCTATCTCTAATGTAATAGGCTCGCCGAGGTACAATGGATGAGCCATTTGCATGGGACAGCAGAGAGTTTTTGAGAAAACTTTGCATAGGAAAGGTATTTTTTCTTCAAAGCAACGGATCACTTTAAAAAATAATTTTCAATTTCTAAAAACTTTTTTTTTTTTAACACAATTGGTATTCTTTTGAGTAGGAGGTGGTATTCAAAGTAGATTACACTGTTGCAAACATAAACAGAGAGTTCGGTACAGTTTTCCTTGCGGACAAGAATATTGCACATTTGCTTGTTTCTCAAGGATGGGCAAAGGTAGCACATATTGGTTAAGGATATTTCGTGTTTGCATTACAGTCCCGAATGTCCAATTTAATGCACCGATCAATATATTTTTGAATCAGGTTAAGGAGCAGGGTCCACAAAAAGGCGAAGCAAGCCCTGCTTTAGCAGAACTGCTGCATTTGGAGGAGCAAGCTAAGCAGCAAGAGCTAGGTCGCTGGAGCAAGGTTTTCTTTCTTTCCTCGAATAGTTATATCTTTTCAAGATGTTTTTATTATGTTAAATTCATTTTCACCTTACTTTTATTACCCTTTTGTATAAACTATTGGAGTTTTATTTCCATGGACAATTATGGCATTGCTTGCTTGCCACTCCCTTTATCTAAAAATAATGAATGAATTAACTTCTTCACTCAAGTGATTTGGCTGACATTAAGTTCACGCTCTTCATCATTTATCTGAGGCTAGCCTAAATTTTCCTGCGTAGGGTATGCATAAAAAGCATAATCAGTTATATGCTTTCTTTTGACTTATGATTTATGATTTAGGCACCCGGTGCAGCAGAGGCATCAATCAGAAACCTCCCTCCCTCCGCCATAGGTGATCCCAGTAATTTGGACGCCATGGGACTCTTGACTGCAAATAAGGGAAAATCCATGCAAGCTATTGTTGAGCAAGTTCGTGATGGCAGTACAGTTCGTGTCTATCTGCTCCCTGAATTTCTGTTTGTTCAAGTTTTTATTGCTGGGATCCAGGTAAGCCATCATTCATGAGTGTCTTTTATTCATTATTTTCATGATGTTTATCAATTCAAATAATGTTATCCTTATCATATTGCGTAAACTTCTGTGTCAACCATAAGGCGCCATCTATGGGAAGAAGGGCTGTAGTGGAAGCTACTCCAGCACCGGAAGTGCCAACGGATGATGCAGATGGAGAAGCATCTGCTGAAATTAGAACCCAACAAACATCTGCACAAAGACTTATATCACAAGCATCAGCTACTGAAATTTCGCCTGACCCATTTGGGAGAGAAGCCAAACACTTCACAGAGATTCACACATTAAATCGTGATGTTAGTGACTATTGTCTGCTTGATGTTGAAATTTTTTCTTTCAATTTGGCTGTTTCTAAAGGTGTAATGGCAGGTTCGTATTGTACTGGAAGGCGTGGATAAATTCAGTAATTTGATTGGCTCCTTATATTATCCGGATGGTGATTCTGCAAAAGATATTGCTTTGGAGCTTGTGCAAAATGTGAGTTGCCCTTGTTCTTTTTTTATGCCTAAATTTTACATGTGTTGAGCGGAGCCTGATATAAAAAAATATAGTGTATAAAAATTTACATAAATAGCACTGTAAGAATGCAAATGTTGAAGAAAAAATGATATCAGCATGTTTATTGTATTGGGAGATTAATGCATTTAGATAGCTTGGGTTTAGCTGCATGGTTTTCTAGTTTGACCAACTAGCCCCCATTTCTACCTTTGATATTCATCTTAGCTATCAATCAAGATAACCTTTATTCTGGAATGGATCAACATGACCTTTCTGTTTCGACAAGAAATCTGATTGTTTTCATTATAATTTTATACATGATACTTTAAACTTTGATTTTTGTGAATGCGTTTTCTAGAAATGCTTTGTTATTTTTAAGGACGATAACTATAAATAATTGTTTATCATTAACGGCATTTTTATTCTGGTATCCATGGGTGGTATTGCTAATGCCTGTTTTCTTCAGCTAATTTTTATCTTGTGTGATCTTCTAATTATGCATCTAGGAAAGTTCATTGAATCTCCCTCTTTTTAAGAAAGCTATTTTTTAACGCTAAAGTTCCCTGTATTTTGGTACTTGCTTGCTTTAATCATCCTGATATTGTTGTCATGACATCATCATCATTGGCATTTTGTCAACTATTTTGAGCTAAGCTTTCTGAAGCCTTCTTCTCCATTCCTTCCAGTTAACTGCTATGGCAAGCAGTTACTTTGTTCTATGTAAACATTTTCATGCTATGTATACCCATTTCAAATGTTTTTATCTTAGTTCCATCTACAAGTTTTATTAATGCACCATTTGACATTTGTTTTCTCTATTCAAACTAATCAATGGACTGCTTGGTTTTGTAAAATTTGGAAGTAGAATATTTAACATGAAAGTTGTTTTCCTCCATTTATGGCCTTGAAAAAATATGTTGCAAAGTAAGGATGGTCAAATCTGCTGCATATATTTTGCATTGAATGTGTTTTCCTACTAGATAATAAACTCCTAAATCAAGTTTTCATACTTTTATCTTACAATCACCTTTTCACTAATGCAGTTATTTCTCATTATTTCCTTCCTAGCTTTGCAGTTGGCATACATCTTACCATTTTCAAAACATAGCTGTTGAGTCCCAATTTGTTATCTTGACACGCCTTGAGGGATCGAGGGATAGGGCACAAAGATGAATGAAATGAGAAAGAAAATAGTAAGATTGCAAAATGAACAATTTTATGGGGGAAAATAACTGTGTTTTCATTCATAAAATAGTCTGTATTTGTATTCATAGGAGACCTTTGACATAGCTACATTTTTATCCCTACTTTAATGAGGCGTGACAGATAATTTTTTCCCTTTTAGATGCCTTTTCACAATTATAACTAATACTGGCGTCTTTCCACATTTATAACTGATTCTGACAGTCTTTCATACTCATAATTGACATAAAAATATATTCGTGCCAACGGATGTTGACAACCACTCAGGTCTATGTTTTCAATCAGTATGTCTTTTGATCGACCAACTTGGCTGACTTAGGGTCGATTTATTCCTCATAAGTATCGTTCGACTTTGACTATGAGAATTTGAGCGTCTTTTGAGTGATAGCCGATCAACTTTAAGTTGATCGGTGTCATTGTCTTCAATCCAGTGATTATTTAATAAATGAGTAGAAATTAATCCGATTGGCTTATCATTGGCCAATTGATTTATCTTCAGCTGATCGACTCATCGAGCCTTTTGATTCTGCAGGTCAATGAATTTCACCTCTCCCCTTCTAGGACATTTGATTGCCTTGAGATTCATGCTGACAATTTTCCTGCATACAATAACTAGCAATGATTCTTTATTGCGAAGCACTAGGATTCTATTGTGCGTTATCTGGCTACTTAAACATACATATAGATATTCCTCTCAGTCCATGTTTATCTTTTTTTTAATCACTCTGTTTAACTCCTAAAGCTATATCATTAGAATGCCATCATTCTCTTTTATAAAAAGTAAAATATTGCAAAACTAGAATAAACCCTGAATGACGGTAGTCAAAAGTTTAGGTTGTTGATTCTGGTGTGTTGAATCCAAAAATGTCAAAAAAAAAAAACGAAGGAATGGAACGATTCTATTAAGAAGTGGTGAAGAGAGAGAGAGTAGTAGTAGACGGACAAAAAAAGGGTATCTTATTCATAATATGAACCTCTATTTATTGGTCTATATCACAATATTATAAAAGTATATATTAGCCCCATCATTATTAATATTTCAGGAGGGCTTTTTGGTAATTATAGAGTTAATTCACATATAATAAGACCGGGGGCCGATTTAATCGATGAGGGTTGTCGATATATAGTCCGAAAGACTGCTCCCTATCGATCGTCCTGAAGGGTGATTATTGTCTTACGGAACGGTGGCTTCTGTCGATCGTTCAGATAAGGCGCTTCCTTGCCGATACTCTTCCGGAAACGATCGTCGAAGGCTACGCTCGATCACCCGCATCTTCTTCTTGAGCTGACTATCTGCTTTGAGTTTCATGCTAACATATTTTTATGTGTACATGGTGAAATGCTAACTCTTGAGCATTTTGAAGGTAAGGAATGTTTAGATGAAATTTGGATCAACTCTTTTGAAGTTAGGCAAGTTTAAGTTTGTATATCTACCTCTTGGAAGACCCTGAATACCTTGCTGTTCATTCCCCTGTTTGTACAGCTAATTAAGGGATTTTTTTTTTCCCCTAACGAGCATGTCTATTAAATGTTTGTTAACAGCAGTTTTTTAATTTATCCATAGGGATTGGCTAAGTATGTGGAATGGAGTGCCAACATGATGGAGGATGAAGCAAAACGACGGTTGAAGGCTGCCGATCTTCAAGCGAAAAAAGATCGCTTGAGAATCTGGACAAATTATGTACCACCCCAAACAAATTCAAAAGCTATTCATGATCAAAACTTCACAGGAAAGGTAATTGTGTTTCCTTCTAGTAATAAATAGCTTCCCTTAATATGAATGCCTACATATATAGATAGTGGTTAAATTGTCTTATTTTTGGGGCTTTGACTTTTGATAGGTTGTTGAGGTTGTTAGTGGGGATTGTATCATCGTTGCTGATGACTCCATATCATATGGAAGTCCAATGGCAGAACGCAGAGTTAATCTCTCTAGTATTAGGTGCCCTAAGATAGGAAATCCTCGTAGAGATGAAAAGCCCGCAGCTTATGCCCGTGAGGCTAGGGAATTCCTCCGTACACGCCTCATTGGCCGTCCGGTATGCATTTACACTGCTCTTTTCATACTGAGTTTATCTCCTAGCACCGTAATTCTAAAATAATTCATGTTTGATCAGGTCAAAGTTTCCATGGAATATTCTAGGAAGGTAAGCATGGCCGATGGGCCATTCACAACTGGTGTACCTGGTTCAGCTGATTCTAGAGTAATGGATTTTGGGTCAGTTTTTTTATTATCACCATCAAAAGCTGATGGTGATGACAACACTCCTGCTCAACCTTCTGTCAATGGTCAATCAGAAGGAATTAATGTAGCTGAGCTGGTTGTGTCACGTGGTTTTGGGACTGTTATCAGACACCGAGATTTTGAAGAAAGGTCAAATTTTTACGATGCTTTACTTGCAGCAGAGTCACGAGCTATCAGCGGGAAGAAAGGGATTCATTCTGCCAAGGACTCGCCTGTTATGCACATCACTGATCTTACCACGGTAAGGGGACTAAAAGTATGCTATCTGTGCAAAATCGTTGTAGAGTTGTCTATTAAACATGATAATCTATGTCTCAGGCATCGGTTAAAAAGGCGAAGGACTTCTTGCCATTTCTACAACGAAGTAGAAGGCTTCCTGCTATTGTGGAATATGTCCTTAGTGGTCACCGATTCAAATTGCTGATCCCTAAGGAGACCTGCAGTATTGCCTTCTCATTGTCCGGTGTCAGGTGCCCAGGACGCGACGAGCCCTTCTCAAATGAAGCAATTTCCTTGATGAGGAGGAGGATACTTCAAAGGGATGTGGAGGTGCTGAATTATTGCTTTTGTTAATTCTACTGTAAAGTCTTTTTCTGATTCTTGTTTCTTTGTTTTTTTTTGTTTTTTTTTTGCTTTTGATCTAATGTAATTAATTACACAGATTGAAGTAGAGACGGTAGATCGAACTGGAACTTTCTTGGGTTCTTTATGGGAATCTAGTACTAATATAGGTGCCGTACTTCTTGAAGCTGGGCTTGCTAAGCTTCAGACAGGCTTTGGTGCGGATAGGATCCCAGATTCTCAGACTCTTGCTCAGGCTGAACGGTCGGCCAAGCAACAGAAGTTAAAGGTATGTCATTATGTCATGCATATTGTTTCGTTTTCTTTATGTTTGTTAATAAATATTTCCTTTGCTTGCCCCTCTTAAGATTTGGGAAAACTATGTTGAGGGACAAGAGAATACCAATGTTTCTTCAGCAGAATCAAAAGAGAAGGAAGTGCTTAAGGTAGAATTATCTTAAACCGGGGCATGTTATCATAATAATGAAAGATTAAACTTTTTCTCTAACAGTTTTTCTTTTAGGTTGTGGTCACTGAAGTCCTTGGTGGTGGAAAATTCTATGTTCAGACAGTTGGTGATCAAAAGGTGGCTGCTATCCAGAATCAGCTTGCTGCATTGAACCTTGGAGAAGCTCCATTAATTGGTTCTTTCACTCCCAAAAAAGGAGATATTGTCCTTGCTCAGTTCAGCTTGGATAAATCTTGGAACCGAGCTTTGGTAATCTTAAAAAGCCTACTTTTTCTAGAAGAAGCGTGTTTGAAAATTTTGCTTGCCACCTTTACATTTACTTGCCATTTGAACGATAGCTCTTAGTCTTTCCTTGTTTTTTTTTTTATAATTTGGTTGAATAAGGAGTTCATGCAAAGTGAAATCTGCATGAAAAACTAGTTTTCGGTTCGAGCTAAATGGGAGGAGTTATTTTATTCGAACCTGGCCTCATTTAATGTCTTTTGAATACTTACATTGCATTCAAATACATCAAATCAGAAAACCGTCAGATTTTTTGTGATCATGTTAGTTTTATTCCTTATACTTTAGTCTTTCCATTTTTTGTGATCATGTTAGTTTTATTCCTTACACGTAGAATTGGTAGGCCTAAGAGTGATATACTGGTGTATCATTTCTAGATATTATCGTTATGATGTGAACACTTACGAAGTGAGTGAAAAGTTAAAAGTAATTGAGAAAATTTTGGTATTAGAATTATAATACAATGTTTGAGAGTATGATGTACATTTTTTTGATAATTAATGGTCTTTATTATGAAAAGGTCAAGTCCGCATTTTGATGGATTAAAGTTTGTTGGATGCATCATCGACTAATTGTGATGTAGATATAGGCATACCCTTTAGAGTTAGACTTATATGATTAAAATTGAGAAATATCTTGGGTTCAATATGTAATACAAAAATATCATGGAGATTTATAACTAAAATGTTAAGTTAATAATTAGATTGACTATATGATATGATTTAACATTTGCATTAAATGAGCTTATTGGTTGCCAAACTGAGAACTTACTAATTTAATTGTGTTGAAACTATTAAGGAATGGAATGAAAGAGGAATGTGGTAATAAAGAAGTTATGCATAGAGAAACAGGATTCCTTATTCTGAAGATTGAGAGACCAAGTGGTGGGGGGAGGGAGGAATCCCTACTCTCATCAATCAATAAATATCATTGTTCAACAGGTAGCACTAATCTTCACATGAATAGTTTTTTAGGGCTCCAAAGCACTATAATAATCAAGAGAAATGACTGCATGACCATAATAAGAAAAATAAAAAAAATTCTTACCCTAACAAAATAAATGATCATACTTAATGCTTATTTGGGATAATTTTCTCACAGCTTTATTTTTTAGACCGTTACACATTGATTTTACTATTTTTTTTTTGTTATTTTTAAGAATGTTTTGTGATGGGATGTTGTTTTTGACAACCAAATCTGTTATAGTGTAATAGCTCTGAGAAAACGGTTCTATTATTTTCGAAAAGAAAAAAGGATATAGAAGTAGCAAAAGTTGTTGAAATGGCTTCTTTCTCAACAACCGCTTTTCAACTAATTTCACAAAAAAATTGCAGCTGCCCCAAACGAATTATTATTTATGTTGATAATGGTTATATTGTTGGTGGCGATGGTCTTTCATCTGATCAATACGTTGAATATAAGATAGTAAATGGTTCTTTTGGTTCATATACAATGGTGTGCTGAAGATGCTCAATAATTTATGTAGATAAAACTGTCACATGGTAAAATGGAAAAACATTGTCACATGGCATGTTAAGTTTACCTAACATCTTATGAAGTCCTAGTAAGAATATATGGTTATTGAGAACTCATAAAGCGGACTCCAATAGTTTGTAGAAAGTTGATAATGTTAATGTCGAAGAATGATCCACTATTAGTGGTCTTTTGTGGATTAATTGTTAGCTTGTAGATGTGTTAGATTAATAACTTAATTGTGGATGACTAGTTCAATAACTTTATATTACTTAATTATTATCTATTGTGTAATTTCTATCATCAAGTTTAGAATTTAATCAGCCACCTTTAAAAAATCATTATTTGGTTAATTAGAAGTCTAGCCATTAGTTAATTGATTAAATAATTTAATCTATTTGTCACACTTCTCTTCTTAGTAATGATTCTGTTAGGCAACTAAATTTTATTTTGACCGTCCGATTAACAACTTGACTGTTAATTGCATAGTTAATAAGTACTTATTTGTGATTTGTTAGTAAACATACATTAGTGGATTAATTTCTCTGATTAGCTTCATTTATTGGCCAATTATGATTCATCATTTATTATGTCACTTCTGACTCGTTCATCTTCAATATTATTGGCCATAATGTTCATTATTTATGATGAAGCGGATTTACTAAAATATGACCAAATTAGTTCACGGAACCCTTCTTTTTTCCTTGCTTTTCATGTTTTCTCACCAATTTAACTAACAAAATTCTACTTCAGATTATCAATTCTTTACAGATTTTTTTTTCTTACTTTGCCGGAAAACTAAATGAGCGCTTTGGACTTTTTTTTTTAACTTAATATTTATCAATAATGCAGCGTATTTTCTGAAGAATTTGCTTGTTATTTATTTGCACTGCTACATAATATTTTTCTTTATCATGCCCTATTCTATGTGATGCTGCTGCAATAATCGTTCTTTGTCATGAAATTTACTCGCAATGTGTTTCCTTAGGTCAAGCATGCTGCATCCCTGTAAGCACAACGTGGATAAAGTTGTTCTTAATATTTTCTTCAATAATGAACCGGCTTAAATATTAATGATATTCAAAATGTTTGTGATATCAAGACTGCATATTTTCACTTGATTTGCAAAATTTCTTACTTGGATTCATTCTACTGCATTTTAAAAAGATCGTTAATGGACCACGAGGACCTGTTGAATCTCTCAACGACAACTTTGAGGTCTTCTACATCGACTACGGCAACCAGGAGACTGTTCCATACAGTCAACTCAGACGACTCGATTCATCGGTCTCGTCGTCACCCGGGTTGGCTCAGCTATGCAAGCTCGCATATATCAAGGTGCCAGAGTTGGAAGACGATTTTGGACAAGAAGCTGCCGAATATCTCAGTGAGTGCACTCTTAACAGTTCTAAAGAGTTCAGAGCTATGATTGAAGATAGAGACACTTCAGGTGGTAAAGTTAAGGGACAGGGAACTGGAACAGTATTGATTGTCACTCTGGTTGATGTGGAAGCTGAAACTAGTGTCAACGCTGCCATGCTGCAGGTTTGTTAACCTTAAACCATATTCTTGTCAATTCTATTGCCTTCAAAATTTAATGAATCTGAATTTGCAAGGCGTGGCAAAGTTTTTCAATTTATAAGGTCTATTTGTGGTCACTTTCTTGCTTTCAAGGCAACTATACAATTTTCTTGTAGTTTTTTCAAAATTTTTTATGATCAGAAGCTACTTCTTACAATCACATCTGCTATAGCGTCATAGTTATAAAAAATTTGGAAATTGTCATACATGCCATGTAATTGATATGTATTTAAGTATCAAATCCCTAAACTTTCATATTTACTTGTATAAAACTTTGGTGTCATAAACATATACATGAAAATGTGTATTTTGCTTTTAAAGGGAAAGATATAGCGGTGTTTTTGATGTGATATCAAAGATTTGAGTTTTATGCATGTAAATATAGAAGTTTATATATTTGACATGTAAATAAGTAAGAATTGTGCAGTATGTATGTAAATGCCCGTCAAAAACTTATAACTAATTCATTCTACTTAATTTGGGTTGTAGGAAGGACTGGGCAGGCTAGAAAGAAGGAAGAAGTGGGACAGGAAGGAAAGACAGGCTGCACTAGACAACCTCGAAGAGTTCCAAGCCAAGGCGAAGCGCGATCGGCTTAAAATATGGCAGTATGGCGATATTCAATCCGATGAAGACGAAGACTCTGCTCCGGCGGCTGCCAGGAAAGCAGGCGGGGGCCGTCGCTAGATCCAATCCAATCCAATTCGCATTGCCCTTATAAAACCAGGTAGCTTAAATGGGGAATACAGTAGACAGTTTGAGACACAAAACTTCGAGTTTAGTATTTATTTATAATCTGAACTATTTTGAACATGTTCTCTCCACCATTTTCTTTATTTTTGCTTGTTTAAGCTTGCCAGTACATTATTTTTCACCTCTTTAATAAGCCAACCTGCTCCACCAGTGTTGTCTGTCAGATTATTGTAGGTTGTCTTATGACTGATTGCTGTAACTTATTTTTGTATCTTCAGAAAAAAAAAACAATTGAAGGGATTGAGATATTGCAAATAATAAAAAAAAAAGTTAGGTTTTGTTTCTATGTGTGTTGGTATGGAATCACAATCAAGAAAAAAAGAAAGGGTTTGGACATTCATGAAATGTTTTTGTGAGAAACTTGTCCCTTGGTTTTTGTATACATCATTTTAGTCCTAATTTATTTTCTTAATATGTTCTGAGTCTTTTTTTTTTCATTATTTTGACAATTTACTCCTATGAGAATGAAAGTTTTACAAGTTGAAGGAAAATTTACATGCATGCCGCTCGATTTATTTATTGAATATTTTTGTCGCGTGTCCCAGCGTGTTGGTTAACATCCACGGTATAAGACTCTTCAAGTTGGGGGTTCGAATCCTCTCTGACACAGTTGACCTCAAGGAGTTGGTACTTGGATTGTTAGATGCATCAGGGGTGGCTGGAGACTTGCATAATAGTTTTTGGCCATTTCTTTTTTTAAAAAAATGTTTTGAATATCTAAAGTTTGATATTTATGGCATGCATATAAAAGCCTCTTGATTTGATTTTTTTTATAAATTTTATTTTTTGACACTTTAATCATTCTAAACAACTAAAGAACCAAAGTTTTTCCAAAGTGTTAGAATAGTGAACTCTACCACTATATTTTCTAGTCGTAGCTAACAGCGGACGAGTCTCCATCCTCCAACTGTATATCTGTGTTCTACCTTTTGCTGTTGCTCTGTTATGTCAAATCTTACGAGTCGTCGGTTACCCATATTTTCTATTTTTTTGTCATTTAGGTGTCCAGGCACATTTAGGTGGCACGAGTAAGACTCATTATTATTTATTATTTGTGATTGCTTGTGATGCGTCTTAGAAAATTTATGGCGGTAGAGTAACAAATTATCATCGTAGCTTTATATTAGAATTCAACACATACACAGATGAAAGAGAAACATATAGTATTGACACCAGAGATTTTTACGTGAAAACCCGTAAAAAAAAAGACCATGGGGGCTTAGGCTAGTTGCGAAAACTCACTATTGATTGATGATTACAAAAATCTCATCACCTAGACGGGAGATGATAACTATATTTTTTGTACTACAGTTTCAACTGACAGTGTGGTTGATGGTAATCAATGGTGGTTAGTAGTGGTCGACAACGGTTGGCGGAGGTCAACGGTGTTCGACGACGGTAGACGGTGATCGACAGAGGTCGGCAGTGGCCGTTGGCGGTTGCCTTTGGCAAAGGTCGGTTCTAGTCAACGACAGTTGACGTAGTAGATGACGGTCAGTGATTGTCGATGGAGGTCAGCGGTGGTCAACGGCGGTCGGCGGAAGTCGATGATGGTTGGTGGTGATGCTGAGCTACAGCTTCTCCTCAAAGCTCATGCTCTCTCTAGGCTTTTGTCTCTTCTTATAGGGGTAGTGTTCTATTTATAGTATTTTTGGTGCAATTAATGCATTAATATGAATCATTTTAATGAGATGGTTCAGAGAGTTTCCTTTAATCATACGGAGTTTAATGGACATTTGAGTGTCTTAATGAGGTTGGAATTGAGTAATCTTGGGCTTGTTGGATTCGTCTTATCGAGACGCTCAATTTGAGTATAAACTTGATAGTTTCGACATTTGTTTGACCTTCCAAATGTGTCCGAAAATCTTCCAATGGTAGTTTAATGACTTAATCGGGGCTCGATTTGACTCGAATCAGACCAGTTTTTATATCATTAGGTATGTCACATCGAGTCGGTCAGTTTGACTATACGTTTGTTGAAATCGGAGCTCTAGATAAATTTTTATCAAGATTTGAATGTTTCTTATTCAAAATATCGTCTCGAGATCCGTGTCACGCCTCGAGATTCATGTCGGATGATGAAAATTTGTTGGTGGGGTATCAGCTTACACAATATTATATTACATTTCATGCATCTCACTTTCTACCTCGACTGGCCGTCCCGGCTCGATCGGCATCACTTTTACCCCAACCGGCCGCCCTAAACTTATCAGCATCACTTTTATCTCAACCGGCCGCCCTCTCCCGCCCGACATAGCTCTTCCTCACTATACATTATTAGTTCATTGGACTATGATATTGTCTGCATTAAGCCTTCGTTCTATTAAAAGTAAATAAATAAATGCATAATAAATGTGTTGTATATTATGATTTAATCAAGTAGTTTGTACTTTCAAAATTAAAGGTGTGTCCCGTTTAAAGCATTAAAAGATAAAAGGAGCGTTTAAGTTTAAATTTTATATATTTATACATCTAATACTTCAAACATTTACATGCATATAATTCAAATCTTTTACGTCACATTAAAATATTAACATCATTATCTTTAAAAAAAAAACCAAAAATAATATTTTATTGCATACCTTTGTGATGTCAATGTTTATTTATGTAAACATCAAACTAATTGTTAGATATGAAAATAGTTAAAAATTGTGTACAATTTATGTAAATTTCTTGTAAATGAATAGATAGAAGACTTACATTGTTGAATTCTTTTTTAGGACTTGGAGTCATGTATTGTTCGTGAGTTCATATCATCTGAAAAACAGATTGTCTCTGTAAGTAAGTTGTGGTAGAATGTTGTGAAACTCCGTCTTTTTCCCCAAATTCTTGGGAAAAGAGAATGGTTTTGGCGAAGGATTTTTGGTTCGAGGTCTTGAGATTGCCAGAGCCCTCTGATGATTTTCCCTTTTTAACTTCCATAAGGAAAAAAATAAATATATATATATATATAATTACTTGCAATTCTATACCACACACGTCCACAATATCTTGATGAGAAGAAGACACGCGTATCAGGTGGCGTCATAAATATTGATAGATGCATGTACTTTAATGTAATGATGGTCTTCTACACTGGTTGGTTTGCACCGTGATAGTTCAATCACTTCGACAAGTAGATTCGAATCAACCACCTCAACGAGTGGGCTTGGTTCGTCCACTTCGGCAGATATATTCGATTCAAGAGTACCCATACAGAAGTCTTTCTTGAAATTATAATTACATCAACTAGATTGTTCATATTTTTCAGCATATGATTTTAAACTTTTTGTATATATATATTAATGGATTTTTTTGCAATTTTCAAATTAATAAATTAATTTTCTCAAAAATGATAAATTTCGTCTACAATATCATCTCATTCTCTAAATACTCTTTATCTTTGACCCTCATGCCATTATTAGCCGCTGAATTCATTTAAACCTAAACCAGCAGACAACACGAAAAACATGTGCGGGCCCCACTTCAGCCATTTTTTTCAATATCTACCTAAATATATCATTAAAAATATGTAATTAAATAAATACTACAAATATATATAATATATCCATAGAAAATAATTTATTAAGTTGTTTGAATCCATTGCACCTGCTCCCTCACGTGGGAGGTTTGGACTTTGGACCAAAAAGTAAAAGTGGCTTTTACACACATATCATTCCAAATTTTTATATTTCCCCCTCAAATCCTCAAATTTTCATAATTACAAAAAGTTTATAAAAATTAGTACTCATTATCATAATTTAATTGTCAACTTCATCCTTTAATCCATAGATAAAGTATTATATGTGTAAAACAGAAAGTTTAGGGTCTATTTTGGGGAAAATATTTGCTTACATAAGACGTACGCAGCGCTGCGTACGTCAGGGGTTATTCAGGGGGTACAGGGGGTTATATTCGGGTTATACCCCCCTGAAACCTCCGTGTAACTCCCTTGTAACCTCCGCGTAACTTATTTGTACCCATGAAATTACAGAAGTGCGGAACTCATTTGTGGGTTACATGTAGTTTACAAAGAGGTTACAGAGGGGTATAACCCTATATAACCCCCATGTACCCCCTGAATAACCCCTGGATGTACGCAGCGCTGCGTACGTCTTATGTAAGCAAATATTTTTTCTATTTGGGCAGCTGTTGAGCATATTATTCTGAAAATCTGATAATCTACGATTATCAGAATAAGTCGGCTTACTGTTTGTGCCGGCTATGTATATAACTTTACCAAAGTAAAAAAATGCATAAAAGCTGGGCCTATATGTGAAAATGTATAGCAATTTTATTTTTTATAGACATTTACATACATACTACTTAGTTGTTATGTATTTATATATCTAACAACTAAACTTTACTTTATACTTTTTATATTTATATCACTAAAATATTTCATATTGCAAAAAAACTACTATCTTGACATACATGTTCGCATGCATGCGTACGTTGGTATTTGTGTAAAAATTAAAATTTTAGTGTTAGATGTATAAATAGATATGAGCTTTGATTGTTATATGTGTAAATATAAAAGTTTAGATGTTAGATTTGTAAATACTAAAAAAAACAAAAGGTTGCGTGTGAATTGAACAGTCGTCTAATTCAAATATTGGACGAATGCTTGCTTGTAGATGTGAACCTCCTTTCCCAATACAACAAAGAATATTAAATAAATTTGGGGTTAGAATTTTCTCTTATTTTTCAATTAGAATAAATTTGTAATGTCAATATTAGTTTTTGGGGCCGCAGTGTGGCACCGCACCGATGTTTTGTCTGTTTGGGTAAACTATATTTTAACATCTTTTTCAAACGTTGATATTTAAATCTGTGTTTTTTCATCACTGTTGTTTAGGTACAGCGACTCTAAACTTTTAAAAAAAATAAAAATTAATAACCAACACAGCTTATTGAGCTTCAGATTATTATTACGAAGCTTCACAACTGTTTTTTAATAAGTTGCAGCTGCCCCAATTAGACTCATATACGCATAACACTTAATTCCTACGTATATAAGTATTTAACAACTAAACTTCAATTTTTACTTACATGCTCTTATTTATGTGATTCGGAGCTGACATTCGCATTTTAAACATTCAAATGATGATATTTTTTATGTGATATAAAAGATTATGGAGTAAGAATATAAAAGACAATTTGGGGGTTTGATATGTAAATATATAAGAGTATGCAAGTAAATGATTTCTTTTTATAATAAAAATAGATATAATTCATAATAAATTATTATTAATTATTTAAGCTTGTAGGGAATGTTTTTTAATGTATTATATGATATTAATATCACGAAATATTAATAGAATATTCCCAATGTGAGGACTGAAATCATTTCAATGATGCATATATGTGAGCATGTATATGTATTATTTTTTGCAAATCATATTTGTTAATGTGTATTATCTGTAAGAAAATAACTGTCAATTATTTTAATAAAATAAATAAATATTTACAAAAATGTACAGCCGCCCAACGTGTACATTTGGGGAAGCTGCAGCTTATTGAATAAACTGCTAATAAGTTGATTAAAATTAATCTGCTGATAAGCTAGATACGGTCGTTATTATAATTTTTTTTTTGAAATGTCAGATCACAGCCAAAAAGCAGCCACTGCGCCTAGATAGGTGCGGTGTGAAAATGTTATTTTCAGCGTTTTTAAAACGCATAAGCTATCAAGACGAAGTTTACCCAAACAGACCTAATGCGTTTTTAAAATGTCACCGCATCAAATAAGCTGCTCCAAACGGGCCCTAAATCACTCCTAAAATCATAAAAATTATTACATAAGGACATTGTCCGATCCCTTCCGTCGATCGATACATCGATCATTTTTAAAAAAATAAAAAGATTAAAAATGAGGCTCACTGAAATACATCTTTACTGTGATTAACGATGGAGATCGGATAATTTAGTCAACATTGAATAATTTTTTCTTAAAATCATGACAACAAATCATAATTTGCTTGCAAGGCTTTATTTAAGAAAATAATTTACATTCATATCCCTACTAATAATAATAAAATAATATTTATGTAATATTTAATTTATATTTGTTCCCTCTCCAATCAGTGTTATCATGTATGAATCGGTTGTCCGATTTGGTTCTGCCGGCCGGAAGAACCGGATTCCAATAAAAGAAAAAGACAGTGCTATGTAAATAAATTAATTACGTGCGCGCAGCCAGTTGTGAAAAAATCCACTCAAGAGACTCCAATTCTGTCTAATCCATCTCAATCCCATATCTTTTCCTCTATTTTTTTAAATATTATTTAAATGTTATCCACTAACTACATATTTATTAAACAATATTTTCTCATATTTACTGGGTCTGGGAGAATTAAATAAAGATAATCATGATTTTATGTATTTTCATATGTTGAAATAATTCATGATGAATACTGAGTATAAAGATTCAGTTCTCATCTGAATTTAAGAAGGATCATAGTCGATTGTCGCAAAAATAGTAATTTTTAGTAAGTATTGTAAATGGTGGTTGTGGCGTTTGTTTGTCATAGAATTAATAGTTTATAACAATAGTAGTAGTTGATCAGGTGAGCCGTAGATGATTGCTCTAATAGTGTCGTTTAACCATAAAGGTTGTGATAAAAGAGTTGTAGGATATGCAGATCACTTAGAGTGGATAGGCTATCGTTGCGAGTTGCGATGATGCCCGTAGGCCGCAGAGGCCGGAGTCAAGAAATGCACGAGTTGTGGACCATGTAGGCCACAGTAGTGAGTTGCAATAACGTTTGTAGATTACGGGGGTTAGAGTCGGGAACTACACGAGCTGTAGACCATGCAGACCGTAGTAGTGGGTTGTAATAACATATGTAGGTCACGTGGACGTAAGTCGAGAGCTGCATGAATTGTGAATCACGTAGGTCATAATTTGTTACATACATTGTAGCGAGAAGTTGTAATGACAACATTATGCCACTGGGGTTGCACGAGTTGTGCGCCATATAGAGCGTAGTTGTGAGTGACAATGATGTCCATAGGTTGCGATGATCTGAAGTCGAAAGTTGCACGAGAGTAAATATACATCTTTGGAATTTTTATGTATTTACACATCTAACACACACACATAGTTTTATTTATAAATCATATAATCATATCAATAATATTAATTGCTAAAATAAAATATACTTTTTTCATATGAAATAAAAGCACTAAAAAGTCCCATAAAAAAATATAAAGAAAGTTTATATGTACCTCATTATATAAAATTCAGTTTTGTTTATTAATATAATTGCATATATAACCTTATAATTCCTCAAAGCGCAAAAACATTTTCTTTTATATATATATATATATAGACGAGAACTTTCATCTCCCCCGAGCTTCCTCAATCTTCTTCCTCCCTCCTCCCCTCAATTTCACTTCTCTGCAACTCCTCCATATGATCAAGAATCAATGGGCTTCAAATCTCTAACCCTACAAATGGTCCCCGTGTGCCTCCACGCCTCCATACAGCCGGAGGAGGACCTCCCCTTCCCCAAACCAACCGCCTCCCCTGCCGCCGTCCGCCTCATCCTCTCCACCGGCCGAATCCGAATATTCCGGCGATCTTTTCCCGCCGAAGAACTCATGGCTTCCAATCCCCTCCACCTCGTCTGCCGCTCCGACTCCCTCTTCATCGGAACGAAGGTTCCGCCGCTCGCCGCCGGCGATCTCCTCACTCCCGGACAAAGCTACTTCCTTTTACCCTCAAACTTCTTCTCCTCCCCTCTCTCCTTCGTCTCCCTCGCCTCCTCCTTCTCCTCCTCCTCCCCCAGCAAACTCCTTCTTCTCCGGCCGTTCGAGATCCAGAAAACAGGGGAAGGGAAGCTTCAGCTGAGAGTATCGGATGAGTTCGTCGAGCGTTTGGGGGAGGAGGAAGAGGAAGAGGGAGGGGAGGGGAAGAAGAAGGAGGGAATGGTTTGTACGACGGAGGAGATGGAGAGAGATTACAGAGAGCTCGTTGTCAGAGCCAAGCTCTGGAAGCCGAAGTTGGAAACGATTAGCGAGCTGGAGAGGAAGAGAAGAGGGGGCTCTGTTGTTGGATTTACAGGGATGATGAGGAAGGAGAAGAGAGGTCACAGTAAGGAACTGAAGACTTGATTAATTAACGAAATTGTGATTAATTAGTGAATTAATTGTAATTTTGTATCTTTTGATTAAGGCTTATGAGTGTTAATGTCACTGCTTGGAAATTTAATAGTTATATGTTCAAACATATATGCTCTCTTCTTCTTCTTCTTTTTCAGGTATTGAAATTAATTAGGAAAATTTATAAAATTAATAATATTATTATTAAAAAAGATTAAGCATTTAAGCTCTTTAAGCTTGAAAATGGCGGATTGAGGAAAGCGAGGAGGAGAGGTTTGACTTGGTCAAAGGGAGAACAAAGCGTTTCTTTTGTTCTGTTTCCGAAACTATTCTGCAAACGTGAGGATGGAAAGCGACAAAAGAGGTGTCAAATGCGGGCCTTTTTCAAAGTGGCTTTTTTCTATACCCACGTGGGAGCATAGTTTGGGTGAATCATGGAAAGCACCCCCAAGTTTATAAATTTGAAGATTTACATGCAAATAACTCACTTATTTATGTATTTACATAGTTAAATAGTTATATGCACAGCACCTGAATTAATGATATTTGAAAATAAGGGTGACTTTTTTGGAAATTGATGCATTTATGGGTGTCATGATAAGATCCATAATTAAGAATTTGATTAAAATGAAAAATATAAATTTTTCATTTTGCAAAAACATTTTCTTTTATATATATATATATATATACGAGAACTTTCATCTCCCCCGAGCTTCCTCAATCTTCTTCCTCCCTCCTCCCCTCAATTTCACTTCTCTGCAACTCCTCCATATGATCAAGAATCAATGGGCTTCAAATCTCTAACCCTACAAATGGTCCCCGTGTGCCTCCACGCCTCCATACAGCCGGAGGAGGACCTCCCCTTCCCCAAACCAACCGCCTCCCCTGCCGCCGTCCGCCTCATCCTCTCCACCGGCCGAATCCGAATATTCCGGCGATCTTTTCCCGCCGAAGAACTCATGGCTTAGATTATAATGTGGATTAGACTGGGCTTAGCCTTATTATAAGTTGTACAGGTTCCACTCAAGCTCTATAAAATCATTCAAAAGGATGTTCATTATTGGCATATTTATATTAATCGAGGATTATAATGTGGATTACACTGGGCTTAGCCTTATTATAAGTTGTATAGGTTCCACTCAAGCTCTATAAAATCATTCACAAGGATGTTCATTATTGGCATATTTATATTAATCGAATGAATATTTCAAAAAATTAAAAAAAAATCAAATAATTTGAAAATAACATCTTTTCATATAATGTTATTAATAAATAATTGAAAGATTTACATAAATAGCACTTAATTTGTGTGTGATTACATATCTATGACCTAAATTTTAATTATATATATATATATATATATATATA